AAAGTGGGGAAAGTGGAGCAAAGTCTCGGACAAACTGAACGCGAATTTGTGGCCAATTCTGACCGCAGTTTTGTGCAGCCGTTGCGCAAGTTCTTAGACGAAGACATGAGAACTATTACTGTAAGACAAATACCCATTGAATTGATCGCAAATCTGAGTTTTGAAATTTTTTCGGTCACAGAAAGAGAGAAAGATTTTGGAGACCAAACGGTTAGACTTAGACGCGGCTAAGAATCGGCTCAGAAAAGCTAAGACCATGGAATCGCAGAATAATGTGAGTATAACTTTTTAGATTCTTTACTATAATAATTTTGTTCACAAACGAGTGGTTATATTATAACAATTATAACGATAAACTAATGTAAAATTTTTACTCGTTTTCATGTGTCGTAATAATTAAATATTGCTTTTCTCTATCCGTCTAATAATGCAAACCAAAAATCAATTAACAAAAATCATTTTAGGCTAAGATTAAGCCTGAAATGATCGCTAAAGAAATCGATCAGGTATTACATGTCTCACATTTGAATGCCGTCTCACTTAACGTTTTTGTTTCATTCATTTTTTTGCATCGATTTTTAATTTTTATAAATTATGGTTTTGTTTTGCATTTTATGTGGTTTTGTTTTTTTATTAATGAAAAGTTATAAATTCATTGAACTTGTTTTTCCTGTTGTAACGATTATTTGTGTTTTATATTTTAAACTCATATAAACTCAATCGATAGGCGGAACAGGAGCTGAGGTTAGCTCAGGAGGACTTTGACCGACAAATAGAGATAACGCGATTGCTATTGGAAGGGATCAGTGCCGCACACGTGAGTCCATTCTTCACACCTAATTGAGTGATAATTATTTGGTTATTGATTTGATTAAACATATTTTGTATCCATATTTGGCGATACATTTGCAGTCTAATCACGTCCGGTGTCTCAACGACTTCGTGACGGCGCAGATCGCTTTCTACGCCCGTTGTAATCAACACATGTGTGATCTGCAACGGGAACTGTCGACCGGTGCCAACATATCCA